CACATGAAATCTGATGCTCTTGCTTTCCCTTTTCTGGACTTCTCCAGTATTGCTAGTTACTCTCACAACCTGACAGCACTGGTAGTGAATGGAAGTGGCAACGACAGAAACCATAAATCCTTAAAGTCAAACTGAATAAGTAAAATATGTTATATTTTATAAATTCTGGTATAGCAAAAATTTTAGGAGTTCTATGGCAAAGTTTGGAATAGGAATATAATAGATCAATGAACCATTTATACATAATATACTATGCGGAAAGAACTGCTGGTTATTTTCAGAATATGAATAGATAAATTCAGGCACATAGGGATATGAGATATATATACAAACACATATATAACACACACATTATATATAAATAATCAGGATATAGACTGACATATCAGTATTTATCAGCAGTTCTTCCCACATACATATATGCCTATGAAACACTACAATGTCACATCAAGATCACCAGGCATTTTAAGCTGTTTTTCCCTTTGCTTCAAATAGATTAAAAAAATGTACCCTTAAAAGCAAGTGATCATAAACTGTTATGTATATTAAACATATCATATTGGAACGTCTTATTAACTAGCCCTAAAAGAACTTTATTTTTAAAAACCCACAGATTAATACAAATTCATGTAAGCAAGGTTATTTCCCATTTCAAATCTTTTCAAACTTCTATAATATATTCGGGGAATCTCTGGACTATTAATGGTAGATTTAATCCAATAAAAATTTTAAGTACTGTATTTGACCTACAACACATAGACCCTCTATAATCTGGACTATATAATTTGGACTATGCTATGGAAATACACTAAATTCCTTCTGAAAATTAAATGCCTTAAAAAAGCAGTAAAGATCAATTTCTATGTTATTGTTATTCTACTCTTTAAATTCTACTGAGATTAACTTTATTCTAAAGCAATTTATGATAGCCTTCATCTGACTTAGCAATGTTTTCATTATGCTTTAGGCAACAACAAATAAAATGAAGAGTTACATAGTGAATAACATCAATTATATTCTTCCTTAGAAAGCAGAAAGAACCTGTGAATAGGGATGTATTGTTTTTAAGTTATCAAATGGAAAACAACAAAAAAAAAATTGGGAGAAAAGTCTTTATTCAAATACTTTTAGTACAACCAACAGGAAAAGTCCTCCTCCCAAAAAAACCACCGACACTATATTGCATTAAAAAAAAAAATCAAATAAAGCCCTTTTGAGAATTTCTAGTTTGCAGCCTCAGAATAATAAACATTGTAATAGTACCTTTATAAAGGATACTGTTTTTCTAAGTTAAAATCCCAACTGTGTTATACTTCAAATATTGGAGTTGCTTTTCTCAAAAAAAAAAAAAACAATAAAATCAGCTTAAAATAAATTTATTGTACAATACAAAAAGTAGGCATACTGGAAAATAAAAGTACATTATTAAATATACAAAGCAAATGAAAGAAAGCTAAACAACACAAATGTTTTAATCCAAACACTAAGATAAAATGCACAACATTTATGCTAAAAACAAAGTATTTTAGGAAGAATATGCATTTCAAATGAAATGTTAATGATGCCAAAAAAAAGAAGAAAGAAAGAAAATCAAATATGCTATCCTGTAAATGCTTGAATATCAAGAATCAACAATGGCAAAAAACATTAAGCCCAATAATACTGGGTACTTTTCAAGAATTATATTTAAAAAATTATTAAGAATACTGCAGGAATCAAAATATGTCCTTAAAACTGGCAAAGTTTTTCTTTTTTTTAAAATTTGAGGGCCTATTCACAATATCTTACCTTTTCTTCCATTTATTCCTTCCTGTAAAAATTTCTGGATGCTCATTCTTAACATTCTCTAAATACCGTAGCTTAGATAATCCTACTTCGTTAAGAGTGCACTTAAACCTTACAACACATCAGTAAGCGCCACAAATTAACCTAATTTTGAAATCTATACAAATATACACACAATATGAAAACTAAATCTTTATTTTATAAAGGACAGTAACATGTAACAATTTAGAGCATGGGGGGAAAAATAATGTCTTTTTTCCAATTAAGGCATTCAATTGCCCAAACTACAATTGGCCCCGGTGGAACTATAACACAATTGTGTAGCAGTAATAAGACTTTGAGAAGTATCCAGTTAGGATATGCATCTGAACATTAGAAGAACATTCAAGTAAGTATAAAAGCCTTGGTAAAATTCTCTAAAACTTAATATATAATTATTTAAATATATAAATTTAATACTTAGGGTAGTCCAAAGGCTTTTGACCAGCACCTCTGGGAGGGAACTTCTTTTCCTAATATCATAGTTCCCAAACTCAAGACATCATATAATCAAGATTTTCTATATCTACATTTGCACCAGTATCTAAATTACTAGGAGAAATCTTTTTTGCTACATTATATTTAAGTTTACAAACTTTGCCCTACTACATATATGCTGTCATGCTAAGAAACCATCAAGCTTTCCTTCTAAATCCCCCTTCCACGAAATTTACGAGTTTAAAAATGAATTGAAAAACAAACCTACTTGAAACTGTGGGGAACTGTGAGCAAAACCAGACAGGTATATGGAAGAAGGAAGAAGTGTGAATAGGTCCTACAAGATTTTATAATCATTTTGTCAAGATAGACTTTCAATATTATGAATAATTACTTGATGTCAGGTGGTGTAGACCTATAGTTCTCTTAAATAAAGCAAGTTTTGATTCTCAATATTGCATTTTCATAAATGAACAAAAGGATTCAGATCTAAAATATTTTAGTAGCAAACTTACTACCTTCAGACTAAATTCATTTCCTTAGTACTCTAAAAGAGTTCAAATAAAACAACTTTATGAGATGTTATAATTTATCACAAAAGAAATATTAGCATTTATGAAATTATTAGGATAATAAAATTTTAAAAGCTAAAAACCAAGATTTGCCATTCATATTTAAATATAACATAGACAAAGTTATGTGGGTAATATGAATATAAAATTGTTTAGGTGAACATTTCACTTGAAGATATTGTTTCTCCTTCTGAGTAACTAACCATTATAGCTTTTTAACAATGAAACATGTCATTATCTCACAACTGAAATTCTTTGGCTGGAATGTTTTAGTAACATAAGACACTCTTGTACATGACAATTCTGACGGAACATGGGAGTTGCAAAGTAAAAGAGTTAGGAAACATATTTAAAACTGTTTGATAAAATTTTAAATAAAGTTTTTAAAAATTTAAAGCCAATATATCACTAAAAATGGCATAAATGTAAACTTAAGCTAACTTTATACTATTGCTATTTTTAAATAAAATAATTTGGGGTTCATTATTTTGGCTTTTTAGTTTTGTATTTAGCATAGAAGTACTTTCTACTGTGACTGTAGACATCATGTCAGTTTTAAAACTGAAAAAAAAAGCAACAAAACTTATGAGTTCAATTTGTAGGGTTTTAGATTTAAGAAATTACAATTTTCTGTTACTATTTTAAAATGAGATTATCTAACTATATAGTTAAAATTATAATAACATCAAAAAAAGTTTTAAAGAAATCTTTCCACTTTGTATTTTTTAAAAATAAAGCAAATTTGCTTTATTTACTTGTAAATACTTTTTAAAAGACCAACAAATGCACTTTTAATCTATTACCTTTACACAAAGATTAAAAGAAAAAAAAAAAAGCTTTATGGCTCCAGCACCCAAGGTTGAGAACACAAAAAAACTCAATAAATATTTATAGTTTGCAAAAATAGCTAAAGATGTTTGAAAAGTTAAATGAAGAAACGTTCTGAAACTAGAACCCATTTCTTTAGCTTTTCTCTCCCAGACTTTCCATTCTATACACTACAGTTGTAGAGATGTCCTCATTTGACTCTGGTGATACTTTTTTCCATACTGTCTCTTTTAAAGCAAGTTCTTGTTGGAGACTTTCATAGTCCAATGGTCCAAAGGAATGCTAGTTGTTCAAGCAACATACATAATTTATTAGTGCACTTGAGTGAAGAAAGGTCCAAGCTATAAAATGTTATTTTTCAATGAATGTTATTAAAATCTGTTAAAATTTTCAATCACCATCATCTAACATTTTTGCTCCATTATACTCATGTCAACTCCCATTCATGGAGGTTTTTATTTTGTTGGCTTTGCAGAATTCTCATGTATTATCAGAAGTTATTTTGATTGGAACAAACAAAAATTTAGTTTGGTCCCAAAGAAAATTTGCTCAGTCTGAATTAAAAATATTTTCACTTACAAGAACTTCATATTATCTTCAAGTCTAATTAAGTAATTTTACTATAAATATTTTACATGTGGGATGCAAAGAAACTGAATTTAAAAAATCTCAACACAAGTCCCTTGGTCCAGTGAAAAACTATATAGGTCAAAAAAATTAAGTCTTGACTCTTAATACTAGCTCTAAAAAAAGGAATATATATATGTACAATAGCATAAAGCCAAACACACTGATAAGAAACAAGTAGGACTTTAAGGTTATGAGGAATATTGCATTACATATTCTTTCTAGAAAAAATATTTCATTTACAGTGGCTTATAAAACTTATTAGGCTTCATAAGGTGTTTCACTAATATTATAATCTCTTTCTTATTTACATATCCATACACAGTAGGTAAAGAAATAAAATAAACTTCAATTCAGTACTATACTGATAAAAAAAGCTTTCTTTTTAATTAGAATTATAGCACACAGCACTTTTCCAATGTCTTTTTTAACAGAATCAAATCTAAAAATCTTGCTTCAAACAGCAGAAAACAGGAGGAAAACCCTGCCATTACGCTAACCAGTTCCAATTTAAATAATAAACCAGTAATATTTAATATCTATGTATTAGTGAACTAGGATAAAAATGTCACCAATTTGTTCACCCTCATTTGTGATTACCAAGACATAAGGCCACTAACAATTAAGCTTAGGTTTTATTTAAACAGGCAAATTTCATTTTCTCTCTCTTAAAAAAATTACACAATTATCTAAAATAGGAATTTTGCTTACCCTTTGATCACCACCTTCTCTTCGAGGATCAAGTTTTTTTGCAAAGTGTCTCAAATTATCATAGTTATGGAAATTACACAGAGAAACAAGATCCTGTAAATAGTTATAGAGAACAAGTATAAGAAATTGGCTATTCATTGGTTACATTTATTCATATTTTAACAAACTATGTTTATAGCCTCCTGCTTAAAAATCATCACTGCATACTGCATCAAGCATGATGCATCAAGAAGGGGACTGAAGTCAGAGTAAAATATAGATATAAGTTTTGAGAACACTGCTTACTAACATAACCCTAGGAGCTCATCCACTCAAAGTATCTAACTTTCACCTTCTATAAAACAGGGTTTATAAGAGGCCACATGAAAGAATTCTTCTATCAAATAACTGTAAAGCACCATAAAAATATAAATAACCATATAATCAATTATAATTTACTTTATATGCAATCCAATGTCATTCTCTAGTTTTTATAAAATATAAAAGATTGAAAAATAAATCAGAGTTTTAATTGAGTACAGTACTTAACATGAACTCCAGAAAGTAATAAATGTAAATAAACCCACAAGCTGAAATATTAGCAAGAATTGTTTTATAACAAAATACTGAACTAGGCCGGGCGCTGTGGCTCACGCCTGTAATCCTAGCTCTTGGGAGGCCGAGGCGGGCGGATTGCTCAAGGTCAGGAGTTCAAAACCAGCCTGAGCAAGAGCGAGACCCCGTCTCTACTATAAATAGAAAGAAATTAATTGGCCAACTGATATATATATAAAAAATTAGCCGGGCATGGTGGCGCATGCCTGTAGTCCCAGCTACCCGGGAGGCTGAGGCAGAAGGATCACTTGAGCCCAGGAGTTTGAGGTTGCTGTGAGCTAGGCTGACGCCACGGCACTCACTCTAGCCTGGGCAACAAAGCGAGACTCTGTCTCAAAAAAAAAAAAAAAAATACTGAACTAATCGATAGTAACACTTTTTAAAAATTTTTATCTTTTTATTTGCAGTGCTTACTTCCTAAAAAAAATGTTTAAAGGTAGTCAAGGGATAAATATGTTCAACCAGGGAGATTAAAGGAGATAAAACAAACCACTATTGTATAATTCTTAAAATATGTTGGATTTTAAATTACTTTTCTAACTCTAGTATCTTTGGTTGAGCTTTTGAAAACTGAAAACTAATAATAACCATGAAAATTAAAACATAAGCCTCACACAAATGTAATTTCCTATAAGAATGATTAAATGAGAACTGTCTAGTAGAAGCAACTTGAAGCTCCTCCATGAGTATTTCCGTGGCTACCTACTAACTAGCACACTGGCGGACCAAGTGCTAAGAGTCAATAAACCATGGAAAATGGGTTAAAAAAAATAGAATCACTGAATGACTCAACTTATATGATCATTATCTTCATTAAGAAAATATGCTTACATGACAGAAGTGAATTCCCTTAACACTGTTGCCCATCTTGTCCAGAGGAGGAGACCAGCACATCATGCCCATGACATTGGGAACAACTAAAAGAATGCCCCCAGCAACTCCGGATTTTGCAGGAAGACCAACCTGAAAATAATTCAGTAAACGTGAGCATTCATGTAAACATTTTAAAATAAGAAACATTATGTACAACAATAGAGACACTAGTTTAAGAAATGTGATATACATCCATAACAATAGAATTTCAACATTAGAAGTATTATATATAAATATTTTTCAACATATTTATAATATAGTAAATAAAAAAGTTATAAAACTACTTGTGATAGATTTGAACATAGAAAAATTTTTGAAAGACACACCCTAAGGAATTAAAGTAGTTACATCTAAACTGTATGGCCATGGATGTTTTTATTATATTCTTGACTATCTTTCTAATTGTTCTAAAATAAACTTGTATTGTTTTTAAATATAAAAATTATTTTTCAAAAATATTTCACAACTAGAAAACAATGAGAATTATATCTTAAAAGATTTTCTATAGCATACTGTCAGAGAAATGTCTGAGGAATAGAGATAAAATGGTAATTTAAATTAATCCTCTTCAAAAAATTTAGGTTTATGTTATACAAAATTTGACAATTATGATAAAAACAAAAATTAATGTCATTAAGGCAGTGTTCATTAACTGCTTACTAACATTCAGATATTAAGTACCTCTTGACAGAAGTACACCAATAAAATACTCTTGCAGAAAACTAAACAAGCAAATAAAAACCACCTGAATCAGATCTACCAATTTATAGGAAATGCAAGGGACAAGACATATGTAATCAGCAAAAATTAAGACTGTAGGAAATCATACAGGATAATGACCCAGTGTTTTCAACCAAAAATAACAAGAAAATAAGAGAGAAGTCATGAGAAGACCTACAGATTAAAAGAAAAAGGGAGACACAACCAATTACAAAGTATGGTCTTTATATGTACCTCTGGTCAAAAAAACTATAAAGTAATATAGTAGTAATTTATAAGATAATCCAGTTAATCTGAACATTGACTAAATATTTTAATGATAATAAATTTAATGGTGATATTAAATTAATGATATTAAAGTTTTGATATATAATATTTAAGTTTTTTATATGTAATAATGGTACTGCATATTTTGTTATGGGTCTTTATCATTCAGAATAATATACTATAATATGACAAGGGTGGGGGGCATAAGTGTACATACAGATGAAAGAAGATTGGTCATGTATTCATAATTATTGAAGTTCAGTGATGGGTACATTAAATGCATCTATTTTTATGTTTGAAAATTTCCAAGACAAAAAAGTTTTTTAGGACATTATGACTTGACATAGCAGAATGAAATAAGAAAAGTCTGTACATTTCACAAGTGGCAAATGCACAACAGAGCTTAAAGAAATATACTTTTGTTAAGTTTTAACTTTAATATACTTTAAGTCCTTTAAAACAAGGGTCCCCAACCTATGGTGAGTTGTATAATTATTTCATTATATATTACAATGTAATAATAATAAAAATAAAGTGTACAATAAATATAATGCACTTAAATCATCCCAAAACCATCCTCTTCCATCCCCCATACCCATCCATGGAAAAACTGTCTTCCATGAAAATAGTCCCTGGTGCCTAAAAGGTTGGGAACTGCTGCTTTAAAACATCTATGGCTGTAACCAAAGATAATAAACATTACATCTTTCTGAACTTAAGGAATTCTTGAGGTACATAATCATCACAATGCTAAACATTAACTGAAATTAAAGTCTATACTAACCTTGTACATTGGAATGCCTTAAAAGCAGAAGTGATGAGATCCTATATACTAAACTTCCAAGTTCTTAAGAACATCTGGTAGACTGTTTAACTCTATTCCTTACTAATTCTGTAACACATTAACCTTGAAAACAAGCCTCTCTCTCAAAAATTAATGTACAGCTGTGGAAGCAAAGTTTACAGAGCATTTTTAAAAGAACCAGTTCAGACTAGTTTCTTGCCCTAGAAAATTAAGATTAAACAATTACTTACATGGAAAGCAAACTGCCCTGAGAAGTCATACATGCCACAGGAATGCATCAAACTCAGTGTATTTCGAACTGCTTCAGGGCTCAGCACTCTTTCACCAGTAATTGGGCAGAAACCACCATTAGCCAATGTGGCAGCCATCACACTGGCTGATTCACAAGTCACTTCAATGGAGCACAGCTAAAACGAATTAAAAAAAAAAACAGAATTCTAAACAATTCAGGCTCATATGACTTTTAGTATTACAGTTGATTTCTAAGACAATCTATTTTATCTGGCATTTCATACATATCTGAAATATTTCTTCCAAAGAGATAATTTTAGTGTGACTTGATGACATACCAAAGTTGTTTTTTTTGTGTGTGTGACATGGTTTCTCTCTGTCACCACCACTACAGTGCGGTGGCATCGTCATAGCTCACTGTTGGCTCAAGCGATCCTCCTGCCTCAGACTCCTGAGCAGCTGGGACTACAGGTCTGTGCCACCACACTTGGTTAATTTTTCTTGTTTTTGTAGAGATGGGGTCTCACTCTTGCTCAGGCTGGTCTCAAACTCCTGACTTCAAGCAATTCTCCCACCTGAGCCTCCCAAAGCCCTAGGATTATAGGCATGAGCCACCTCGCCCAGCCCCAAAGATTTAACTGACCAAAGTTCTAGCTCTTTCAAAGTTTATCCTAATTTTCCCAAAGTTATTCAGTCTTTTAATGGCAGAGGTAAACTAAAGCACTATGATCTGTTATCGCTCCATGTGATATTCATATTTGTTTAAACACTAACACTTTCTGTGGGATACACAAGCATAATTATTTTTAATGCAACAGAAAAAAAATGAGCCATGATATATTTTTAAGATAAAGTGCCGTATATCAGCATTATGACAGATAGCATCTACCTTAGAAATTACCACTTTTGGAAAAAAAAATGCTGAAATGCCTTCACTTACATCAAAGCTCAGCATCCCCATTTATATGGTAACATAGAAAAGACAAAGGGGAAGAAAAATATAAGACAATACTTTCCTGTCTTATATTACTTTCTTGTCTTGTCTTGGTTTAGCTGTGTGAGGCTAAACCAGAATGTTGCCTTGTAGACCATTTGTTAATATTTACTACAGGTGTTGACTACATCATGATGAATGAAAAATGGGAAGCCCAGATATTCTAGCATGAAATTTCTTTATTTAAATATAATCAAAATAATAGAAGTACTTTATCACACCAAACCCAAATTTACCCATAACACAAAAATAATAAACTCTTCCACTTTTTATTTTTAATTTACAGTGACCAAAACTGGGTGGGAGGGAGGAAAAGAGAAAGCATAAAGGAGGAGGATGAGAAGACTGGGTCCTCAACCTGTAAACTTTCCTCAAACTCCAAGATCTACAAGAGGCAAGAAGGGGTTTGGAAATAGCAAGAAAGCAAACTACTAATAACTACAGTGACTTGGAACGCTATGTATCTAACTTTGACTGGAAGTCACTTTTTGATGGACTTTCACTTTTGCCCATTTATATTAAAATCTCTTCCCTATTTCTCCAAAACTACAGAATCTACTTCCTATACTGTTCCAGATACCAAAGAATTATGATAAGGTTGATTTAATTATGAAAGGCTTTCTAAAAGAAGATTTAGATTCCAATGATCATTTCCTAATTTACACTTAATATTAATTGGAATTTTGTTTAACATAAGGCGACATATTCCTAATTTGACAAATGCCCACTTGAGAGTACTCTCCTGATTATTTGATGGCTGTTCAATTATATACAGCCCTTCTCCAAAAATGTTAGTAAGGCTTTTATGGCTGTCTCTTGATTTTTGCCCTGAAGTATAGAAATTCAATGAACAGTCAATTAGAAGCATCTAAGCTATGAAAGAGTCACAGTTAAAGATGTATTCCAAAAAAACATTAAACTTATGGAAAAACACTCATATGGACTAGGGAAAAAATAAAGACTATTGGATAAAAGAGAAAAAATGATACTAAATTTCATGTTAACACTTTATAGTTTCACAGGAATTTCACACATATCATCTCATTATCTTCAATGTAATACAGCAAGTTAGGTCAAACATATACTACAGATAATAAAACTAGGGAACAGAAATTTTTCTAAAGAAGACAGAAGAATGGCCAACAAACATATGAAGAAATGCTCAACATCTCTAATCATCAGGGAAATGCAAATCAAAACCACAATGAGATATCACTTAACCCCAGTGAGAATGGCCTTTATCAAAAAATATCCAAACAATAAATGCTGGCGTGGTTGCGGAGAGAGAGGAACACTCCTACACTGCTGGTGGGACTGCAAACTAGTTCAACCTCTGTGGAAAGCAATATGGAGATACCTTAAAGCGATACAAGTGAATCTACCATTTGATCCAGCAATCCCATTGCTGGGCATCTACCCAAATGATCCAGTGACACTCTACAAAAAAGACACCTGCACTCGAATGTTTATACCAGCACAATTCATAATTGCAAGGCTGTGGAAACAGCCCAAGTGCCCATCAATCCAAGAATGGATTAATAAAATGTGGTATATGTATACCATGGAGTACTATTCAGCTCTAAGAAACAATGGTGATATAGCACATCTTATATTTTCCTGGTTAGAGCTGGAACCCATACTACTAAGTGAAGTATCCCAAGAATGGAAAAACAAGCACCAGATATATTCTCCAGCAAACTGGTATTAACTGAGTAGCACCTAAGTGGACACATAGGTGCTACAGTAATAGGGTATTGGGCAGGTGGGAGGGGGGAGGGGGGCGGGTATATACATACATAATGAGTGAGATGTGCACCATCTGGGGGATGGTCAGACTTTTGGGGGGAGGGGGGGAAATGGGCATTTATTGAAACCTTAAAATCTGTACCCCCATAATATGCCAAAATAAAAAAAAAATAAAAAATAAAAAAATAAAACTAGGGATTAGTAACTGAAATTAGGTCACATGGCTAATAAGTAGGTAGGCTAGACTTTGAATTTCATATCAACAGTCTGGATTCCCAATTCATTTTCCACATTGAGCAGATAACCAACTGTGACCTGGACTTGATTACTGAAAGGCTAAAATTAAAGCACCTTCAAAAGTAAAGACAGGCAAATGTGAGGTAAACTAAAAATTAACAATAATGTAGCCTACTATAGCTTCACATTATAGTCCTATCAGTGGCACGAATGGTGTTAAATTTGTAATAATAAGTTGAACTAAAAATTTGAAGGGAGGGGAGGGATCACTAGGAAGGCTATCCTAAACTGAGTTTTATACCTCAGCAGATTATATACATGGTTCCTTTACCCCAACCCCTCCTCCTGAATATTGAGAGCTACTCTAACTTAGAAAACCAACAATGTGAAGCTAGAAATGTACTAAATAATTATTCTCCTAGCACCAGGTAAGCCAGGATAGAGTGGAAACAAATAAATTACAAAAGATACCAAATGAGCTGAGAAACTGACACTTTAAAATGCTGAATACCAGCTATCTAATAAAAAAAAAAAAAAATAGCTTCTCCCGAACAAAATTTAAAAGATAAGAAAACAGAGCTCAGTCTATAATTAGAGAAGCCAATTTCTGGGACTGCATATTATTTTTGACACTACTTAAACATGATGTTTTCAGAAAATTTTTTCCTTATTACATTTTGAAGCATGACTTTTTAGGAGACACAGACATGAAGCTGCTTTTCATGAAGACATTATTTAAAAGTTAACAAAAAATATATTTTATCATTATCTAGAACCAAGATTTAAGGACATCTATCGTTTGTAAAATGTAACACATGCATTTATATACACAGTTTATACAATTAAATTACCTGGAAATAGAAGTCTAATATACCAACCATGTCTGTGCCTTCTGGAAAACACTGAAAAAATAGAAAGACATTAAAAATATAGGCACACAGGAAAATATATGAATATATGAAGATGAAATTTACAGAAATGTTTCATTTTAATTGAGAATGAAATAGTACATAACCTCTAAATGAGTATAAACATGAAACAATGAATAATAAAGCAAAATTACATCACATCATATACATTTCTAGATACTAGTTTAACTGGCAATGATAAACTGATTAATAATGTATAAACTATATTGGACCAGCCACTTAAAATAAAAATAAAAAATAAAAAAAAAAATCAAGGGTAGTAAACACTAAGTATACTTTTGAGAAAACGAACTAAATCTCAAACAAAATTTACATTAATAAATTCAATATTAAATATTAATGTCAAATATTTCAATACTGCCAGATAGAAATAATTTAATAATAACATTAACAACTTGATAAAAATGCTTTGCAAACACTTCCGCATCCTAAATAATAAGTAGTTGCTTAAAGGCTATTGTTGATTTCATAGCATATATTTTCATATATTTTAGTAAATAAAAATAATTTAAAATAGAAATAAAAATTTAAAAACCTTCTTTTCTTTTAAGTAATATCCTATTGCAAAATTTCGATCTCCACTTTCTCTTTCAGATTGAAACCTGGAAGAAAAAATAAATTTGCTCTATTTACTTTCTATTAAAATATTGACAGTTCTTTAATTTGTATGGCAAAGTATAGCATTAAGAACAGTGAACTAAGATTCAGGACTGCTGAATTCAGGTCTCAATTAAGTGATATTTCTTTCAATCTTAATTTTCTTAGCTGTAGAACGACTGAAATGAACTCAGACCCTTCCTACTTCCACTTTTACGAACAAAAATGCTAATTTTAAAATTCTCAAATATTCCACCATTAAAGAACACTGAAAAACTGCATAATCCTCTAGCTCCCCAAAAGTACAATAAACAGTCAATTCCAACTGAGGGAATCATGGAAATTTCACTGAGAGACGGACACATAAAATGAATCTTGCAGACAAAATGAATCTTACAGGATTCACTGGAGTAACAGATTTAAGGGAAAAGCCTAAGCACTGGGAAATTCCAGGCAGCATGGACAGTTATAAATAACTATAAAAGACAGGACTCCATTGAAGCACAGCAAATCCTCTGATGTGTCTAGCGAAATGGGTGTATGTATGAAGAGTGGAGAAACACCAAACTAACAAAGGAGACTGGGAACCAAATTATTGAGATCAATAAATGCCAAAAAATGCAATGGCTCCTGATTGCCCACAAAACAAAAGTTTGAAGGAAGGCTTTCAAACAAGTTACCTTGTCAGATCTGCATTTCAGAAGAATAAGTTTGATATTTGTTTGGGACAGGGAAAAAGAAAGGATAATTGATATATTATTATTATTATTATATATATTACTGTAATGAGAGCTACAAGAAAGCCTGAATTTAGGCAGTGGTGATAGAACAGAAGGAGGGGCATGATCAAACATGTGAGCAATTGGATAAATCTTCTAACAGGATAAGAAAGAGGAGAGATCAATTTAAAGACTGGTACAAAGCCTGAATTTCCAACATGGCCTACTGAGAGGATAATAGTATTGACTGACATAAAGATCTCTAGAGCAAAGAGCAGTTTGGGAAGAAAGAGAACAAATTTTAATTTAGACAGATTAATTTGCAGTACATTTGAAAATCAACCTACAAATGTCCAGAAGGCTACTAATAGTACAGGGACTGTGGGTGATATTCTTTACATTAATTGAGGTGGACAGCCCCTTCTAATTGTACATTTTTACATTTCTGTGGTCAGAAAAGTAATAATGGATATGAAAAAATTCTTGTCTACTTGCCATACTTAAAAAAAAAAAATCAACATAAAGGACTAAGTATTCAGCAATTATCACAATGCCTGACACACAGTTCAGTTCATCAAACACTATCTCAAGTGCTATTAACTGCCAGGTAACAGGGATATAGAAATGAACTGGAAGACACAATACTCTATTCAGGTCTTAAGGAGGTCAGAATCTAATGGTAGTTATGAGGCAAAGAGAGACTATGGAATAAGTTCAATAATATATGGAAACATGAGAGCATAGAAAAGAGGTAAGATGAGGTTCATGGAAAACTTCCTGGAAAAGACAGTTAAGCTGATGAATTAATGTCAATAAGGCAAATAGCCTAAAAATGTTTACCACTGAAATATGAAGCAGTAAGTGCGAAGTAACAATAAAACAATAGTTAGTATTTATGTTAAAACTGTCTTAACATAATTTTTCTAATTATAAGGAAACAATCAAATTCAAAATGGGGAATATCCACTCCAGCCCATGGGCCAGATCTGGCCTGCTGCATGTTTTCATAAAGTTTTTTTTGGAACACAACCATTGTCAATGGCTGCTTTCCTACTAAAACAGTGGAACTCCATAGTTGCAACAGAAACCATATGTGGCCCATGAGCCTGAAATATTTACTGTCTGATTCTTCAAAGAAAAAGTCAGTCAATCCCTGCTCTCTGAAACAAGGGGTCTTCACTCCTAAAAAGAAGTTATTTAATAAAATCTTTAAAAGTAAGGATCTACAGCAAGGAGACTATTCTAAATAGACAAAACAGACATACTAACAAATGCAATGTATGAACCTTGATCAGTTCCTGAATTAAAAAAAAATAAAAGTTTTAAAAAGCATTTTGAGGCCGGGCGCTGTGGCTCACGCCTGTAATCCTAGCTCTTGGGAGGCCGAGGCGGGCGGATTGCTCAAGGTCAGGAGTTCAAAACCAGCCTGAGCAAGAGCGAGACCCCGTCTCTACTATAAAATAGAAAGAAATTAATTGGCCAACTGATATATATATAAAAAATTAGCCGGGCATAGTGGCGCATGCCTGTAGTCCCAGCTACTCGGGAGGCTGAGGCAGAAGGATCACTCGAGCCCAGGAGTTTGAGGTTGCTGTGAGCTAGGCTGACGCAAAAAAAAAAAAAAAAAAAAAAAAAAAAAAAAAAAAAAAAAGCATTTTGAGGACAATTAGGGGTATTTTCATATTAATTAAGGTCAGGGTTTTTTAAAATTCATGTTAATGTTCTTAAGTGTGTAAGTGGTATTATGGTTATGTAGGACACTATCCTTATTCTCAGGATATACATGCTGAATTATTTAAGGGTGAGGTATCATGATGTCTACAACCTAATTTCAAATAGTTCAGAAAAAGAAAAACTGTATGTATATATTTACATATATGTATATATAGAGATATACACACATTTTTATACATTTATCTAAAGAGAAAGATTGGGAAAAAAGAACAAGTATAACAAACTACTATAGAATATAAGATTCCAGATATTCATTATTTATTCTTTCAACTTCTCTATAAACTTGACCATTTCAAAATTAAAAATTGGAGTCAAAATCAAGTCAGCCAGAGAGAGAGATAAAAGATGTAAGACAAGTAGTATACGATAAGACAAAACTGGAGAAGTGCTGTTAATTTGAGGTGAACCTGGGATCTCTTCTGACTGTATGATTATCTTTAAGAAGTTTATTAAAACTACTTTAAGCATTTTTAAGTGTTTCTATTAGGTAATTTAGAAATCATTCATTTACCACCAAATGACTAAACTTTAAGTAATTATTCACTGAAGTCAGTCCTAGGACCAACAATGGAGAGAAGATTAATTCTAAATACAGTGAGCATATATGTATACACACAAACAAACATATATATGAAGTAACAAAGCAATATTTAAAATACAATTCTATAATCTAGATTTTTTATTAATTTAAAAAGGCCTGACCCACTATAAAAACATAAGTCACAAAGCAGACTCACGTTGCATTACTGAATCCAACATATTCATTACCAGCCATCTTGTTCAAAAACTGCATTACCTATAAATCAAAATTAGAAAGTATTAGTAATCACAAAAAACAAATATATAAAGAATGTGGCATGAAAACTGAATTCTATGTTGCACTTACATAGTCAAATTTTTCAGCATTATTTACTCCTTGCTATAAAGAAATAAGAAACATAAATATGTTAATATAGGCACCACCACAGTTTAATTTTAAAGTAATACAATATCAAAATTTCAAATAGCTACCATTATGATACACTGCATTAGTACTTCTAAATCTAGGAAATGCTTCTAAAGTAACTTAATATTTACATAAAGTTTTTTGCACATTCTTTAACACCCACATGTTGAGAATGAATCAGAATTACAAAGGGAATGCTTTATTTTAAGTATATCTTTACTCAACCCAAAGTTACTGAATTTTAAATCAAGTTACCCTGAAATCCCTTATCTTTCATGACAGCACATAATTAGCTAAAATGTATGTTATTTAATTCATATTTTAAAAAACTTAAAATAAAGTTTCACCCTTAGAAAAGAATTAAGTATATGTAAATCATAATTTCAATTAAGAACAATTTACTTATACTTTTAAAGAAATCCTTAAACCAACACTAGAGTTAGAAAAATGAGTTATGCTGTAAAACTAACTAATCTTTTATAATTCCAGTATATGTAAACATTCTGGATACACTTTACTAGTATAAAGAAGGCTCTACCCTTAATATATCTCACTTGTTATAATAATACTTGAAACTAAAAAAAAATTATATTTTATCGTCTTTAAAAAATTAGTTTCAATTATATTTAGTATTATGCCAATTCAGAGTACGGAAGATGTATTGTTTCATCATTTCTATTTCTGACACGTTATCTATTGCAAATGTCAACAGGAAAAACCTATGTAACGTAGATCAGTTCAAGTAGCCAAATGGTTTTATTTTACCTCGGCGAAGTTTACAAAGCAGTAAGTTGTAGATCTGAAATCAAACGTATTAATTGGTGATATGCACCCAAAAGAAACAATACATCTCTAATTTATAAAAACAGGCTTAAAATAAAATAATTTAAAACTAAAGTTTTAAAAACATACTTTTTACTTTATCCTCAAAAAAATCAAAAACATTATACTTTAAAATATTATTATGGGGGGAAACATGTACCAATTAAATCATTGAATAAATCCAGGTTCATTCTCTTAATTTATAAGAGGATTAGGGTGTGGCAGATAATGAGTGAAAACCTACAAATCAACTTATTTAAGAAAGATGTGCAATTATACATATACAATCAGTAGCTGGAAGGAACACCACACTATTTCATCAAAATTAGGCATTAACAAAAACTTAAACAAGGATAATTTAGTTACAGCCATTTGTAATCACTATCTACATATTTTTCTGTAAAGTGTCCTTTGACATATTTTAAGTTTTCTTTCCTTATAATATATCAGAAATCAAAATGTAGAAATGTAACTCCAAAGCTGTTCAATGAAAAATAATTAAAAGAAGAAATTACCAACTTCATTGAACTGTTGCAGTTGTCAAAATATTCCATAGATCCTAATGCTGTAAAATATGTAACAACATTTAAACCACAAAAACCTTTTTAACCTTAGAAAAAGCACAAAAAAACAACTCTTTTGGAAATGTATGTCAGCATTTGCATTGGGATGTCACATGGATAATTACTGGTTATACAATTAATTAATGTAAAATTAAAATAAGCAAGTTACATTGAACTTTCATTCTCTGACCTCAACTATACCCTGAAAAACTAATACAAGTTTTCCTCAATGAGCAGTCATGCTTAATATAAAAAAAAATAATTGTTTCAAGTTTAGACTGTGGTCGCATACTTGGTCTATTCTGTAAAAGGCTTACTAAATTTACAACTGATATTTACCCATGTCTATCATTATGGAGTATAACATTTTGGCTAAACTATTCAAAATGCTCTAGGCAGATTATGTAAATAGGGCAAAAAAAAATACAGGCATACCTCGTTTTACTGTACTATTGAACTAAAATGCAGATACTGCATTTACAAACTGAAGGTTTGTGGCGACCCTGTGTTGAGTAAGTCTACTGGCACCATTTTTCCAACAATGTGTGCTCACTTTGGTAACTCCCTCAATATTTAAAACTTTTTCATTATTACTGTATCTATTATAGGAATCTGTGATCAGTCATCTTTGATGTTACTATTATTATATAATTGTTTTGGGGTGCTATAAACCTTGCCCACATAAGACATTAATCCATAAGCGCAGTGTGTGACCTAACTGCTTCACCCCTGTCTCTCTTCCTCTCCTCAGGCCACCCTATCCCGAGACACAACAATATTGAAATTAGGCCAATTAATAACCCTATAATCACCTCTAAGTGTTCAAGTGAAAGGAAGAGTTCCCCTCTATCTCATTTTAAATCAAAAGCTAGAAATGATGAAGTTTGGTAAGGAAAGCATGTGGAAAGCCAAGAAAGCCCTAAATCTGGCCCTCTTGTACCAGTTAGCCAAATGGTGAATGCAAAGGAAAAGTTCTTGAAGGAAATTACAAGTACTACACCAGTATACACAGAAATGATAAAAAAGTGAAACAGCCTAACTGCTGATATAAAGAAAGTTTGAGTAGTCTGGATCGAAGATCAAACCAACCACAACATTCACTTAAGCCAAAGCCCAATCAGCATAAGCTCTACCTCTGTTCAATTCTATAAAGGCCATGGGAGGTGAGGAAGATGCAGAAGAAAAGCTAAGCAGAGGTTGGTTCATGAGGTTTAAGGAAAGAAGCTATCTCTGTAACATAAACATGCAAGGTAAAGCAGCAAGTGCTGATGTTCTTAGAAGCTGCAGCAAGTATCCACAAGATAGCATCTTTAAGGAAGGTGGCTACACTAAACAGATTTTTCAATGTACACAAAAGAGACTTTTATTGGAAAAAGATGCTATCTAGGACTTTCATAGCTAGAGAGAAGTCAATGACTGGCTTGAAAGGCTGACTCTCACGGTAGGGACTAGTGCTGCTGACATTAAGTTGAAGCCAACGCTCATTTCCGATTCTAAAAATCTGAGGGCCCTTAAGAATTATGATAAGTCTACTCTGCCTGTGTTCTATAAATGGAACAACAAAGCCTGGATTACAACGCATTTTTTACATCATGGTTTACTTAATATTTTAAGCCCACTGTTGAGACCTACTGCTCTAAAAAAAAAAAGATTGCTTCAAAATATGACTGCTCATTTATAATGCATCTGATCCAAGAGCTCTGGTGGAGAGGTACAAGGAGCTTAATGTTGTTTCCATGCTATTAACACACATCCATTCTGTAGCCCATGGATCAATGAGTAATTTCAACTTTCAAATCTTATTATTTAAGAAATACAGTTCATAAGGCTGTAGCTGCCATAGATAGTGATTCCTTTGATGGATCTTGGCAAAGTAAATTGAAAACATTTTGGAAAAGATTTACCATTCTAGATGCTATTAGGAACATTTGTGACTCATGGGAAGAGGTCAAAATGTCAACATTAACAGGAGTTTGAAAGAAGTTAATTCCAACCCTAATGGATGACTTTGAAGGGTACAACACACTTCAGTGAAGGAAGGAACTGCAGATGTGGTAGAAATATCAAGAGAATTAGAAGTAGAGCCTGAAGATATGAGTTGCTGCGATCTCTTGATAAAACTTGACTAGCAATTGCTTCTTACGGATGAGCAATCTCCAGAAATGGTTATCTACTCCTGGTGAAGATGCAGTGAACATTGTTGAAATGACAAACAAAGGACTTAAAATATTCCATAAACTTAGTTGACAAAGAATCAGTGCAGGGTTTGAGAAGAACAATTTTAATTCTGAAAGAAGTTCTACTATGGGTAAAATGCCGTCAAACAGCATGGCATGATACAGAGAAATCTTTTGTAAAAAGAAGAGTCAATAGATACAGCAAATTTCATTGTTGTCTTATTTAAGAAATTACTACAGCCATCACAACTTTTAGCAACCCCTACTCTGATCAGTCAGCAGCCATCCACATGGAGGCAAGACCCTTCACTGGCAAAAAGATTATGACACTCTGATGGCTCAGATGATACTAAAGATTTCTTAGCTATAAGGTATTTTTTAATTAAAGAATGTATATTGGTTTTTTTAGACACACTTAATATACTAAAGTATATTATAAACATAACTTTCATATCTACTAGGAAACAAAAAAATTGTGTGACCTGTTTTATTGCAATACTCAATTTACTCTGGTGGTCTGGAACCAAACCTGCAATTTCTCCAAGGTATGCCTGTACTGAATGATTGTGTTGACTAAAGATTGTTTCTCTCCAGAACTTTCCCCCATTTAAATGTAAAGGCATTTAACTTAAGCCAATAAAATATGCCTGCCTCTGTATTTTTGGAAAGATTTCATGTACTCTAGAGATATATGGGATCTAATAATCGTTTAAGATGCCATGTTATTTTAATTTTGAAAACATTATAGTCAAAGTTCATTTGCAAAGCTCTTAGGAAAAGCACAGACATACACATACAAAATAAATTAGAGCAAACCCCTCATTCAAAAAAACAAAACCCAAAACTATAAAAAAACCATCATCATTATCATTATGGGGAGCAATGGAGTGAGAGGGGTAAAGGAATAGATGCTACAAAAATTGAAGCTGAAAATGGGTACGTGGGGACTGATTATACTAATAGTTTATTTTATATATGTTTAAATTTTTTTGTAATAAACAGTTAAAGGAAAAATATTTATTTGCTAATAATTTCCCATACTAATTTGCAAGATTGTTCCTTTTAAGCATTTTCTTTCCCCTTTGGAACAGTAATTGATTTTTAGTTCATATGCCACTGGCTATTTTCTATTGCTAGAGTGAGCTGTGGATGAATTCTCTTCCTGTTTTTAATTTGTACAGATGTATTAGTTGAGAAATCTTGCTTACAATCGATGAAAAGATTGAAATAGAAAAATTTTTGTTGTAATAATGTCATTCAGTTCTTTACATGCCTCTACATCATTGTGTGTCAAAAGTCACATAGTAATCTATCCTTCAAAATTACACTAATGTTCTTATTAACTGACAACTTGCTTAGATTGTCTTTCAATTTCGTTGAAACCAAAGAACTGGAAACAACCTCCTGTACAATAAGACTTATCAGTCATTACAGTGATTTACATCCTTGATACCACTGACTCCAATATTTCAATATGTTTTATGTTAAAAAAAATAAAAATAAGTAGAAATATAATAAACTTTGAAACACACGAGAAGTATGCCTTTCTTTGGAAAATGGGAAAGACACCTATACCAGAGGCAGATTAATTTTAAGAAAAGCACATATAGAAACAGATTGGAAATTGACTATCTTAAAACATCAATGCCCCTTTATCCCTTAGAAAGAATCATGTACCCAGGAATACATTTATCCCAGCATACAAGTATTATTAGATATTATGTTAATTTTGAAAAATTTATAGTAAATACAGTAGGAACTTTTTTTTAAAGAAACTAAATTTAGAAAAATATATTTAGCATAATTTTGAATCCATTTACCAAAGAGGTTTTTTTAAAATTAGAGACAGGATCTCACTCTGTAACCCAGGCCAGAGTATAGGGGTGTAATCATAGCTCACTGCAACTTCAAACTCCTGGGCTCTAGCAATCCTTCTGCCTCAGTCTCCTGAGTAGCTAGGACTACAGGGACCACCATGCCTAGCTAATTTATTTTTTAATGTTTTGTAGAGACAGGGTCTCACTACACTGCCCAGGCTGGTCTCAAACTCCTGGGCTAAAGAGATCCTCCCACCTCAGCATCCTGAAAATGCTAGGATAACAGGTGCAAGCCATCACACCTGGCCCAAGTGACTTTAAAAAGCAAACCAGGTGGGTTGTTTGAAAAGGATAATCAGATCCTAATATTAAAAAAAATATACAAATTTTTCTATAAATATGCCTATCAAGTTATAGAATTTACATTTCTTTGAAGAAGACTTTATGACTAAAAATTTGATAAAGAGGCACTGAGTTTTAATACTAATAAAAGAATTAATGTTACTATATTGCAGCGTTTTTAATACTGTTTTTACAACATATTCATGAATTGACTCATGATAAAACAGGTGAAAACATCACTGTTAACAAGGACATCTGCCAATAAAATTAATATACAAATGGCTCATTTAAAGACAATGCATTAATCAGAGTTATTCTATAAGTAACTCACTTGATTCCATTCATAAAGTATGGAGGTGCAAGGCAATTAAAAACTAGAGATCACAGAGGAAAGAGGCAAAAATAGGTAACTAAAAATGATTTTACAAAATATTCTTAGTTTATTCTTATGACAGAAAATGCTTTAAAGCTAATAGTATTAGGAAAATTAAAAATAGATATTATGGGTAAAAATAAGGTTGTTCTAGGTCTAGTATTTTCATAGATTAACCCTAAAAATAAAGTAACAAAACATTTTTCAGTTGGCAATAAACAATCTACCTTTCATTAAAAAAAAACTCAAACGTATCAATTGATATAAACATAAAGTAAAAAATTCCATCTTTTGAATGTTATCAAGTCCAAGGCATCATTCATTATTCCCCAGAATCACAAGCTGCCTTAAAAAATGTGGTTTATAAGCAAATCTAAAAAGTTATTGCTAACATGACCAAATTCAACATTTATACATTAACTGAACTTATCTTGATTTTCATAGATCATGATTAAATCATTTAAAGAGAAAGAAAACCTCAAGTTTTTAAATTCAAAAATACCTCTGATTAAAAAAAATCCAAGCTTCCTTAAATGACAAAAACTGGAAACTACAACTAGAATAAAGAGACATAAACATAGATGACAGTGTAACTTAACTATTTTTAAAACAAAAAAGCGTAAGTGTGGCAATAATTTTTCAGTATGTTGCCCTTATTTTCCCACCCTAACCATCAAGTTATCACCAGACCTTAACTTTTAAAGTAAAACTAGGTGAAAGTTTTACCATTGAAAAGAAAAAAAATTACATAAGGATATTGCTATTTCATATAAAAATAGCTGCTCCTTTCAAATTTATTTTTATTCTTTCATTCTTTCCTTTAAATCAAACAATCAGACATTATCATCATCAAGTAAAACACACTGAAACAAAAAGTATTCCTTTAAAATTAGTAACCACCACAGAGAAAAAGAGAGGAAGTACAGTACCCTTACAGGTTTTTTTTAATTATGTGCATTTTAAGTATAAAATGACATTTGTTTTTAAAAAGGTATTTACCTATAAAGCTTTGTTTAAAATTTTAAATATTGGAGTTTTCCTATAAGCTTAGTAGTTAAGAATTTATGCGACAGGTTCCTTCTGTCCAAATCCTCCTTTTTTCCACAATCTGCTAATCCTTTTGAATATTTGCTCTGCCTCTTCCCCCATTTCCTGAGGATCACCACCAATCCTACAAGGAAAAAATATCAATACTACAAAATTATGAAATTAAGAGTCTTACTAAAGACTCTACTTAATTTGGGGGTGCAGGGAAGTAACATGAGAAGAATTGTTTTAATGGCATCATGAAAAATTCCTGAATTTTGACAGAAAAAAAAAAATCACAAACAGTCTTAAGGTCATCAAGTAAAAGAAGAGCTAAAAAGCAGAAGTCAAATCTAGTAACCATGGTAAAATATCCATGCTTTGGGTATTCAAATGCAAGATCTGCGGAAAAGGGTCTATTTCCTTACATATAGGCACTTATGTCCAAAAAATGACTACATATACTCACTAAAAAATAGATTTATCTTTTAAGCCAATGAATTGATATCTTTTGTACAAGTTATAATTAAGAAAACAGTATTTCTGCATTGGGGCAATGTAACTATGCTAAAGTCAAAGATGTCACCAAGAGAAATGGCAAACACCTACATTAAATATGGCAGAATGAAATATAATGAACAGCAGAGTATCAGGAGATTTAGCTCAAGCCCAATTCTACTGCTATTACAACCTATCCAGGCTCAGTTTCCTCAGCTATATAAAGTAAGAGAGCTTGACCATGAAGGCCCTTTTGGCTGTGGTTTTAGTGCCTCAACTTCAAGTCATTATGTGATCATACAATTTGTAGGGATCACAAATGGATACTTCTATGAATTCTGAATTTTCTTAACAAGATTCTAAGTATTATATTCTAGGGCAGTCAGTTTTACACAGGGTTGTATCAGGCTTCTTCCTCCAAGACTTGTATGAACTTCATTAAAAAAAAATAGCACTTCTGAAATACATTCTCAAAACAAAACAAAAACTCAAAGAAAGTGACCGTAAATCTGAAATATACCCCAAATCCTCACTTCCAACTTTGCCAGTAAATTTAAATTTTTTATAAATTTAAAATCACTCATCAAATTTCTAAGTACAAGATGACTCGGTTAAATTTGTATACTACTGAACACTGAACCTAACTTATGTTATATGTGTGTTTCAATTCTGGTTTCTAATTGTTCATACTAATGTGGCTCAATGTACAGTTTATGGTTCATGACTGAACATGGTTAAGTGAAAATAGTGATATGATGATGTGACATGACTAAACATGCAATTCCCACATGCAGCATTTCAGTGTGTCTGTGAAGGCCATGAATCATTAAACAAAAGATTCTTAACTGTATACAGTTAAGAAGTCTTCTATTGATCATTTTCATATATATATGCCCTTTTTTGAGAATGTTATTGGTACATCATGTAAATCTTTCTCCAGTTTCAGAATTCTTGAACTGGGATCCATGGATCAGCTTCAAAGAGTCTATAAACACCCTAAAGTTTATGCAAAATTATGGCATGTGAACATTTATCTGGGAAGATCCAAAAACAGTTCAGAACCATTCTAATGTTTTTCTCAAGCATTAACACATACATTGTATTATAATAACTTTTCTTCTAATTTAAAGTTACTTGTCCAAATATGAACAGTTATTAAAATGACTTTTCTCTGATCATATTTGTTGAATTTCATTATAAAGGCCCATTTACTTGTGCATAATCCATAGCACAACGTAAGCTACCAAAAGGTAGGACTGTGCTGCACACATAATTGCCTTATCATTTTCTATAATAAACAGTTTCTTTCACCTCAAACTGACAACTTTCTCTTATGTTAAATATCCACAATTAACTATTTTATAATGGGGAAAATGAAAATTTCCATAGCCTATTAAAATTAGTTACATTAAAAAAATACTTAGCTATCATATCTACTTCATTGAAGTTGTAAGAATTAAGTAGGTCAATGCCTACAAAGCATTTGTCCTACAATAACAATGAAACATATATATACTTAAGACAGTAATCTTGTATTTTAAAAGCTTTTTCTCATGAAGATATAAAACTCATGGAAGTTGAGAATTTCTAGTATACAAATTAGATTAATTTTTGTCAATTGGACCAAGGGTATAATTTATACTTGAGCATCCTTTGTGTAACCAGGGTACCCCATCCATAGTAAGGCATCTACAAAGCCATGTAGTTAGGCTTGAATCTAACTTGGATTAGATAGGCACAGATTTACTGAGGAAAGTATACAAATGTTCTAAACACAAATGAAATTTATTTTAATATAAATGAAATTTATAATTAGAAATTAAAAATCTAAATTAAAAACCAGAAGAACCTGAAATTGTGTAATAGATATAAAAATCTATCACACAACAGCACCAATTTCAAATACTTATTTCACAACATCACAGCTTCCAATTATTAAGGCAAAGCAAACACTAAAACAAATAAACAAAAAAATCAACAACATACCATAAACTTTAAAAAGAATAAGAAAGATAATATAACTTAATAATTGGAATAAGCTTTAATTATTTTAATTATGGCATGATTTAAGTAAAACAGATGAAACAAATTCAAATAAAAATTGTGGTTCCAGCTCATGAGAATATAAAAGACTTGAGAATACTGAAAAGTAAATGTACTTTGTCTTAAACACAAAGTACTAGAACATTTGTTCCTACATATGCTGATAACAAACATACAGTAAAATGCTTTTAATTCTGTTTATATCTGTTCATTCTAGTAGAGCCAAAAGGAAGAGAAAGAATAAATATCAAAACTTTAAAAAGAAAAACCTCTATGCCTATTGTTCAGCAGACTTCTTCAAGTCATTAGTAATTAACTATTGGAATTTACAATGAGTCATCTGTTTTTAATTTGGCCTTGAAATGACTACATCATTTATTTTGAAATAAAAATCCTAACCCTATACCATAAGATTTTTTTTTAACACCAAGAGAAAACTTTTCATAGTTCTACATAAACAATCCAGATTCATCTTTATATGCCTTAATTACAAAAAGTTTACTAGGTGAAAAGGAAATGTCAACATTTTACCTTTATTAATGAAGTCACAACAATTGCTCCAGCATTTACCATAGGATTATGTGGTTTATCTGTAAAATATAAAAGCAATAGTATTATTTCAAATACCTACTAGCATTTTCTTCAATGCATAGTTACTTCTCACAAACATGAACTTTTTGAAATTAATGTAAGTCATTGATATAGTTCTTTTTTTGGGGGGGGGAGGGCATTTGAGTCAACTACATATCAAACCAGTAATTTACCTGTAGAATGCTGCTCTAATAATCATATAGTGAAACACGGACTCATGCACAGAAAGACAACAAATAGTATTATAAGAGCAAATCTAAAACTCTGCCATTATGTATTGCCATAATAAACTTCACTATGTCTAAATTTTCCTAACTATAATGCAGACAATAACAGCATCTACATCTCAGCGAGTTGTAATGACTGAATTAAAACACATGAAATACTTAGAAAGTACCTGGCAAACACTTAGGCACTCGAATAATATTAACATTAAAAACAACCTTGGAAAAAACGGATCTAGCATAAACACATTTTGCTTTTTTAAAAGTGTTTTATTCTTGTGCTTCAATATAAACACACTCAGAACAAAACACAAACAAATGATTTACACAGAATAATAAGCTTATAGGGGATTTTAAATTGTATTCTCCATGCTTTCTATATTTCCTGACAATAAGAATGTATTTCTCATATAATTTTAAAAGTTACTTAAAAAATTTTAAGTTTATCCAAAATCTTACTTCTTCTAATTCTTACAATCAACAAAATTTCAATTCTCAACTGATTATATTCTCATTCTCTGCATGACACAAACACCAAATACAAAACTCTTGGGAAATAGAAAACATCTGTTTACAAGCTATTTATCCTAATTTATCTACCTGATATTTACCAGGGGTAGGGGAAAGGAGGAATTGGAGGGATGTTGATCAAAGGATATGGAATTTCATTTAATAGGAGGAATAAGTTTATTTTACAACATGCTGACTATAGTTAATAACAAGTATACTTGAAAACTGCCAAAAAAGTAGATTTTAAGTCTTCTCACTATAAATAAACATTAAGTATGTAAGATAATACGTTATTAATAATCAGCTTGATTAGCCATTCCACAATGCATATGTATTTCAAAACATCATTTGTACACCATAACTATATATAATTTTTATTTATAAATTAAAAATAAATAAAAAGAAACAATTGCACATTTGGGGTTACTCATGATAATGCCTAGTTCCGAAAGTTAAAATAAAATCTTGGTGTTACATCTGATTATTACAATCAAGATTTGCCTATTCTAAATTATACCAAGAGAAGTTTGCTTTCTCTAAGACCACACAAAATGAGAGCACTTGCTCCAAGAATACTACATGGCAAGAGAGAGCCAAGAAGCAAAATTTTCCAAATATTATCCACCTGAATAAAAATATAGATAGAAAGCAGAATATAGAAATCAGAGTGTGCTAAATTACTTTATACTTATATTTGTATGGATGTTCATATATCTGTCATTTCAGAGTTTTTCATTATCAGGCTTAGACCCTAGGTCCTAGGAGGCAGCTAATATACATATTCCAAATGGTACCACATAAACACGGGCACTAAATATTTTCTAAATGATAAATACTCTGCAGGTGCTACATAAATTATATTCAGGATTTCTTAAAGAACACTAAATTCATTTCACGGCATGACAGCGCAGTTTTCAGATGTAGTCACCTGCTCACTCTGCCTTTGGCTCAAAAGCCAGACCTCTGAACATTTAGAAATCCATCAGAGAAAATATAACACCAGCTTAAACTGCAGTATAACACCTTAGTTTAAGACCTATGACTGTGAAATCTATTTGTTTCCTGCTCTGCCATAAGACAGAGTTGAAGGGTTCAATTTAGAATTATTAACTGAAAAATATTTATGAATAGCAGAAATAATATAACACTAATTTAATAAAGGCTATCATTTGAAGTAATGGCATATATTAGAGCTTGTTATACTGACAAAATGAACATGGGCTACATCTGAAATTTATGAACATATTTTTAACCAGAATGCACAAAACTGATCAATTTTAACAAGTACTTATTCTCCCCAAGGTAAAAAAACAGAGTTCTTTCATAATATATTAGAAGTAGTTTTTCAAATGGCTAAGTACATGAACCTTACAAAGATTTGGTTCATAGTTGAGGCTAAGGCAAAGTTTGCTAACACATATACTAAAGAACTAAAACTAAAGAATTAAAGAATTACTAAAGAATTAAAAAGGATGTCCAGTTTAATTTGGATATTTATATTAGAAGCATTATATTGGAATTTCACAGTGCCATATAAAAATTACAGTTAAAGAAACCTAATTATCCCAAATTACACATGTTTACAATATATTCTAAATATGATTTAATTCTGCAGTGCCCTCACATCTTCCCAACCATCCAAATTTCACCCTATCAATTAAGTCCTGTCTTCCTCATGTAAATTAACTCAACCCCTCTTCTTTCTCAAATCTTCTACACATATAACCAGCACAAACATTTTGGCACCTGTCAATTACATACTTATAATATAACTTATAGTATGTGAGGCTTAAGTTTGTCTTCTCCAACCATATAACAGAGATAAGTCATTGTTTTCCGTATACTGTAGTATTAGCTAGATAAGTTACTGGAAGAACCAAGCCCATACAATCCAGAGATGTTAACAATACTAACAAAGATGGCTATATAAGTAATTTCTTGTTTAACCTAATTATTAATACTATAAGACAGAAAAAGACTTCCCTGGGACATGGTGGTTTCCAAAACTGACATGTCCATAAAGTAACCTGTTTGCTCATTGATGATGACACAAAATATCAGCAAAGTCCTGTCATAGGACCAAAACTTTTACACTGTAAACATTTTAAAACTACTGCTATTAGAAACTACTACAATTTCTTTATCTATTCACTACATTCATATTAATAAATCATCACAAACTTATAAAGCACATTAATAAATTTATTTTTTAAATTTTGTAATTCTAGATACACACAGACATAAAGTGTATAATTTCACTATAAATCTACCCTTGCAATTATAAATATGAAAAAGATCTTCCTAGTTTGCATTCAGCTAGATAGTGTTTAGATTTAAAAATTTCTATAAGATCAAAGTACTATCTTTGTCTTCCCCTTTACTTTTGAATTCTTATAAAAGTTACAAGTCTTGTTAGTTATCCAGCTATTTAACACAAGGTGTTTCTTTTCAAATACTAAATGTTATGAAGGAAAAAAGCAAAAACATTCAGAAACAAAAACAAAAAATCCCCACTCACTAATATCAGCCACAGCCACCAAAAACTTTTTATTATTGAAGTTTTCAAATACTATATACAAAAGTAGAAATAATAGCATATGAACACTCATGTACCCATCATTTAGCTGCAATTATAACCAACGTATAGTAATCACACTCAGCATTCCCATCTGCCTCCACTGAGTTATTTTTAAGCAAAGCCCCGACATTTTGAAATTTTGCTATAACATGTTCCCCTATAGGTGGTTATAAAAAGAAATTCTTACTCTCTGTCCCTATCTTCTCCCTAGACCACTCCCCAGGGGTATGAGATGCCTAAAATAACCATTTTAAAAAGTAGCTGATTAAACTATCTCTATGAATTTCACAGAAATCCCATGACAAATAAATACATAAACACAATTTTTTCAAAAAAAAATTTTTACTACTTAGATTTACATAAGAACATGTGATATTTCTTTTTCTAACCAATTTGTATGTAATTCTTACCATCTTCATTTAAAAATAGTTTGTTGAATCTTAATCCACTTGGCTCTTTTCCAACATACCGATGTACATATTCAGTTCCAAGATCATTAACAGCAATGGCATATTTCAAAGGTTTTACACAGGACTGAAGACAAAAGGGAACTTTGGTATCTCCAATAGAATGCCTATTTAAAAGTAGATTTAAAAACCAATTAACATCAACTGGGAAAAAACATAACTGTACAATTGGAGTTTTTCTTTTTAAATTATTAATTTCAATTTATAAAAAAATTTCCTATAATTCAACCATAAAAGTTTACTTCTAAGAATAAGTAGAAAAGTAAGTTATCCTTTGGTATCTGTGGGGGATTGGTTCCAGGAACCCCATAATACCAAAATCCACTGATCCTCAAGTCCCTTACATAAAACAGTATAGTATTTGTATATATACAAATTTGTCCTCCTGTATACTTTAAATCATCTCTAGATTATTTATAATGCTAACACAATGTAAATGCTATATAAATAGTTATTGTACTGTATGGTTTAGGGACTAGTGACAAGGAAAAAAGTTTATGTTCACTACAGATGCAATCATCCATCTTATTTTTCTCTAATATTTTCAATCTGCAGTTGGTTGAATCCATGGATGTGGAAACCACAAAGGGCTGACTATATATTTGTTTTAAGAGAAATACTGCAAAAAAAGGCTAAAGTGTAAAAGTACTCCGATAATAGAATTATGGTTCTAAATTAGATAATAAGTAATGTGGAAACTGTCCTCTGAGGTAAGAGAATAAGAGTTTGCCTCCCCTTATACTCATCTGTATTCAATCATATAATAAGAACTAACCCTTTCAGAAATTATTCAGGCCAAGAACGGTGACTCATGCCTATAATCCTAGCACTTTGGGAGGCTGAGATGGAAGGCCTGCTTGAACCCAGGAAGTTCAAGAACAGTCTGAGCAATACAGCAAAACCCGGTCTCTACAAAAAGTAGAAAAATTAACCATAGTGGCAACATGCCTGTAGTTCCAGCTACTCGGCTAAAATGGGAGGATCACTTGAGCCCAGAAGTTCAAAGCTGCAGTGGGCTACAATGATGCCACTGCACTCCAGCCTGGGCGACAGAGTAAGATCCTATCTCAAAAAAAAAAAAAAAAAAAAATTATCTTTTTTTACTCACAGCTTTAAGCCATGGCTAAACAATGG